AGATTTGAGTTAGGATATGTCAAATTTTCATAAAAATATGGTGAAAAAAATTCTCGATTCAATCGTCGATCCAGAAATCTAAAACCGAGACAGTTGAATCAGTCTTGGACTGATTTGGGATGCTAGATGGGCCACGAGATGGACTGCAGGAGCGGGTCGGACCGTGGGTGTGGGCTGGGCGCTGGAGCACGTGGATGTTAGGCTTCCACTAGCACGATTTAGGCATGTAGGTCTTGGGTTGTTGCTGCTGCAATTTGAGCCTGCTCGTGCTAGGCTCCCTTGTGGCGTGGGCCTGGGCTTGCAGCTGCAGGGTGATGACTTCACGGTGGGCTTGGGTCTCGCCATGAGCTACCATGGTGGCTGCTGCTGTGGTGGCTACCATCGGCATAGCCACGGTGGTGCCACTCTACTCGTTGTCGTGTTGAGTCTCGTGGATCGTCGTGGTGAGGCTATGCCTTGATCTCTATTACTCGGTCCAAATCCTTAAACGTAGGAAGTTTTGCTCGTTGTGATTTTTGAATTTCTACTAGTCATTGTACTTTTTTTTTTTACGTTTATTCAAAGAACTTTATAAAAAATTCTAGGAATAAGAATGTACGAAAAATCTATGAATGAACGAGAAATGAGAAACTTTGAATGTAAGAGTCTTCTTTGAGCGTGTAAATCAAGACTCTCAATGAAAGCACCAATTTGTGGATGCAAATTTCCGCCATCTTCTCCTTTGACAAAAATGCACCTGCAAAATAATAACACCGAAGAATCTCCGATGCCAAAGTTAGAATTTTGAAAAGAATGTATTTAGGAGTTTGTGGGTAACCAATGCCGATCAATGGCTAATTATTAAAAATCACATCTTAATAGAAATCACATTTATAAAACCAAGTCATATCCACAAAGGATACTAAATACAAAATTAAGGTAATAACCATATCACATATATCAAAGTCATTTATTAACCAATGTAGGCCCACTAGACTTTACTTAGTTTCTAGTTGTACGAATTTTAGTATTTAAGAATGATTCGAGACATGTGTCGAAAGTCAACGCTCTGTCAACGGTGGGGTCCACATTTCAATCCATGGATTTTCAATCCGTAATGTCCCAAGAGTCTCATTAATCTTCTAGAACAATATCCTAAAATTTCGGAACGATCCAATGATCGAATCTCTGTCAATCGCTAAAATTAAGAGGCGGTCAACGTTTGGTTTTTCAAACTTAGAAGTTCAATTTGGGAAGATCCATACGTCGGATTCCCGATCCGTAAGTTCCTAAGGTCCTCAAATATTACGTACTATAATGCATTAAATTTTCCTGATGATCCAACGGTCGGATTATCGATGGTTATAATGATCAAGTAGCTTCCCGTTTGGTGAATCGCCGCCAAGAACCCATTGTATCCACCGTGTTTTTTTTTCTTCACAAAATCAAGGCCAAATTCCATTGGTTTTTTAGTGGAAATGGAAGAGGAAAAGATGCTAGGTTGATTCCAAGGGGTGAGTAGCTTCAATTCACTAGAAAATTGCCGTGAAAGGCATCGGGAATCATGGATTCCGCCAGGTCGGGTCACGGATCGACCGGTTCCCTTTTTTCTCATTCCTTCTTTTCCTTCCCTCCTGATTCGCCTGTCTCTCCCTCATTTCCTTCATTTCTCTCCTCATCTCTCCATCTTAGCCACACACGTGGCACCAAATCAGTGCTTTAACAAATCTAGAGCCTTCCAGATAATGGTCAAATAACCGTTTCGCCTTTGTCTTTGCTCATTTATATCTCATTCGTTATAGCTCCGTTTGGTGATGTTTTTGCCTACACACTCGTGAGGTTGAGCTTTATCCAAATATGTAAATAAAAGTGACAAAACATCTATGAATAAAAAGTGTCATCGAAAAGTCCGTTTAGTTCATTAAAGGCATTTTCGTTCTTTTACTTATCGAAAAAAAAACTATACGCCGTAATTATAAACGCGTCAAAACTAAGAATACGAAATACGTAATTTTAAATAGTGAAATTCGGGGACAGGATTTCATAGATGTGGTGCAGCAAAAGGGGTTTGCCATGCATCTTGAGTTTGAAACTCTCACTCCCTTAAATTATTGTTATAGTACAAACATGTGTGCCAATACCAATTGAATCTTGAAATTTTAATTTTTATCACCTGAACTCTCTTAACTGTTGAAATCTACCATTTACGTTACTTTCCATCTATTCTACCGATAAAACATGTCATGCCTCACGTGAAAGGATATTTTTGTCAATCCACTTCCTAAGGCTTGTTGGAATCAATTTGAACAAAAAAAAAAAAAAAAAAAAAACATTTTGTTTGTAGTGTGGAGTCAAGTCATGAAAAGAAAGTGAGAAGGTAATTTTGGCAAGGGTTGTTGAAGATCGAAGTGCAACATATGCAAAAATCTAGTATTTCATTTACAATGAGTTTTCATATATATATATATATATATATATATATTTTTTTTTTTTTTTCTTTTTTTTTGTAGGCCAACAAGTAGTGTGGTTCACCATAATTTCTTCAAATATTAATTTGTCAAATTCTTATGGAGGGATTGTCGAACTGGGGCTGTACAAATTCCCAATTTTGACGCCATATTTTAGAGCCAATTTGATTCTAGCCAGCCTTGAAGTCAATAAACGAAAATATCTCTACAAGTAACATGTTTTAAGGGCAAAATAGATGGAAAGTAACACAAGTGGTAGATTTTAACAGTTAAGAGAGTTCAAGTCGAAAAACACAAGAATAAAAATTTTAAGTGGTATTATCGCACATACTTACAAGTTCAGAATTTACTTCATCCAAAAGACTTCAATATAATTTATGCAATTTTTCTACAAAAACAAAAGTGAGAGTATAGGAGTTTTAAAGCCTGAGTAAAATAACTCGGTTGAGTGAGCTGGATTCCTTCCTCTAAGGCCATCTCCAATGGATCAGACCATAGGGGCATAGGCCATGTTTTAGCCCGAATTGAGACAAAATCTAACTTCAATTGAGATTTGGGCCAAAAAAAAGGGACCCACCACACCAAGTTTTAGCCCTTTGGTCATGGGGCGGAGCATTGATTGCTAGCTAGCCAGCTCGTTTGTTGGCCCAGTTTGTCAACACCTAACATCTATATGACGTAAGCTGACGTCATGTAGCTATTGAAATTTTATTTTATTTTTTTTAATTTTTAGGACGAAATTAGAAAAAAATTTAAAAAATTCCAATTTTTTTTCCTATAAATACCTAAGCCATTTATACACTATTCTCACATCTTTTTCATCATTTCGTACTATCTTACCTCATGTTATTTCAATTATTCATATTTTTTTTTTTACCTAAGCCATTTTAAAAACAAACTTAATACAATTGTTGAATTAATGTCTAAGTTGTTGTAGTTTTAATATGGTAATTTAGTTCAATTAACCAATAAGTTAAAGAACAAACTTAAAAATAATAAATTATTGAGGGGCAAAAAAAAATATCCCATTTCGGTTGGAGATAGTATGTAAATATAGTTTGTCATTGTTTATTTAAAAATAATTTTTTGAAGGGCTATAATTTTGAACGGGCTATGTTTAGCCTTTTTGGTTTAAGACATTTCCAATGGAGAGGGTTAAAGGTTTAGAAACAAAAAAATAGCATTATTTGCCCAAAAACTAGTTTCGAACCGATGACTAGACTATAATTCTATAAAGCACCAAGCCGTTATTAGGGCATCATTCTGGCCTAATGTAACCCCATCTTAGTCATTTTTTAAGACCTGGCTCCTCACTTACAATAATTGAACTAATAAATTAGAGGGGCTACATTTAGCCTCTCCAATTGAAGATGTTATATAAATATGTTTTGACACTGTTTATTTAATAATAGGGTTAATCTCAGTTTATTACGCTAAAGTTTTTTAATTTTCAATATTTGATACATGAAGTTTTTTTTCATCTCAGAGTGGAACATAAAGTTATAATTCTGAGATATTTTCATACATCTGTTAAGATTGCTATTAAATTTACGATTAACTGATGACGTGGCATCCACGTGAATAATGATTAGGATCCACATGGATATTAATAAAATAAAATAAATAATTAATAAAATAAAAAAAAAACTAAAAATTTTAAAAAAATTACAGGAAAAAAAAAAAATTCTTCAACACTTCAAGCTCGCCCTCGACGACCCTGACTCCGCCCTTTCCTCCTGGAACGACGCCGATCCACCCCCTGCAATTGGCTTGGGGTCACCGCCACCAGTGTTAAGGTTATTGAAGGGCTTCCTCGCTCGGTGGAACTCGATACGCTTCTGAAGCGGATTCGACGCGGTTTCCGATTCGGGCATTAAATCCGCAAAGCCCTTCGATTGGATTTGGAGCTCCGCCGTTTACACCAAAGCGTCGGCCATTTCCGGAGCCCAAAAAGTTACGATTTTGCAGAGAAAGTTTCGATTTTTGTTCTATGCGTATTGAATTTCTCTCTCTGGAATTAGAAATTAGGGTTCTAATGGCGGAAATGTTTGTGGGGATTTGGGAGAAGCAGAGAGCTTTTTGAAGGCTTCTGCGAAAGAGAAGAGGCAATGGAGGCGGTAGAGGCGGTAGAGGCAATGGATGAGTCGGAATTGGGTGGGCGCAGAAGAAATAATGGAGGGAGGGTCGGGTGGGAGCGGCGGGTGAGGTGAGGTAGAAGACAATGCCCAGATTTTTTTATTTTATTTTTATTTTTTTAAATTTTATTAATTTATCAAATTTTTAATATTTGGATGGGTTTATATTGACACATGGCGTTCAGTCATTGTTCACGTAGTTGTCACGTTATCAATTAACGACTGATTTAACAGAAACCTTAACGGATGTATGAAAATGTTCCAAAGTTACAACTTTAGATATCACTTTGGATGGAAAAAACTTCATAAGCCCATAATGTTAATATAATTCTGGATCGGGCTAGTTAGATCGGTCGGAGATAGGCCCAATAAGTACAAACGAAAACCTCCAGAGGGCGCATTTGCTCAACAGGTCGTTAATACCTTTCTCATTACAAGGCAGGCACCGGCAATCCATCGGTTATCTCCCGTAAATTCGAAATAATTCGAGAACCATGGTTTGGGGTTTCTTCCCTACGGACCCTCTCTCAGGTAACATCTCTCTCTATTTTAGTTTTCTTTTTTGCCCCGCTCATCCAGGAAATTTGAATTTGCATTTTCGATTAGAACAAATTTGTTCAAAATACTTATCAGAAATCATATGGTTCAATTTCGTAATTGTGAATGCATGTGATTTTTTTTTATTTTTTATTCTGATAAAACTTTGAAAACTCATTGGGTATTGAACTTATAGAAACTGTTTTTGTTGAGTAACAACTTTCTTTCGTTGGAGAGCCCTTTGAGTTTTGAAAACTTATTGAAAACAAGGTGTTTTTGAGTCACTTTTAAGATTTTAGTTTCTAGAAAACTGGTCTTACCAATCAACAATTTTTCTTAATCTTTTGACTAAGAGTGAAGATAAATCTGAGAGATTGGAGAGAAGAATGGGAAGAAAAAGATATTATTGTCTACTGATATGTGTTGAAACTTGAAAGAATACACAGACAAGAGGTTCTGATATTTATACCAGAATCATAATAATGATTAGATAACTAATCACCTCATTATAATATACTAATTATAGACTAATCATAACTAATCTGGACCCTGTTACAGCAGTGATTAGCTGGCAAATACGGTTATTAATTTTCAGTTTTTCACAGCATTAGCACATGTGTCTGTATCTCTTGTAGCTTCTATAGTTGTGAATGTGGATTGTGGAGTAGAAGTCATCACTGAAAAATGTGTATTTAGATGTCTCTAACCTTTCCCTCCTCAATGCTTTAGGTTCTTGTAAATCTCTATCTTTTGAATATCTTGATAAGCATTCAGTTCACATCAATATCTAACTGGCATAATCTGGCAGGTGAAGATAAATACTATATCTTTGCAAGGGGGACGTACAAAGTGGGTCGGAAAGGTATGCCAGAATTAGCTGAAATTTTTTGTGCACCAGTTCCATGAAATTCTTTTTGTTGGATAAACTAGTTTCTCACCCTCCTCTAATTTCCTCTATGACATGCCTACTTGTCCAGATCTCCTAATAATGATTATAGTACTAAATTGTTTATATTTTCGTTGTGTCCTCGGGTATTAAATCATCTAACTTTATGTAACATTGTAGGTTGTGATGTAAATATCACTAAAGATAAAGGAGTTTCTCGGGTTCATGCAGAAATAGTTGTTGATGCAATGATTGCCCCTCTTCCCCTGCAAACAAAATCTTCTATATTATCTTCCAAAGTTCGAATTAGAGATTGCTCAAAATATGGAACATATATTAACAAGAACCTTACATCAATGGAAAAGATTCATGAGTTACCCGATAGAGAAACATTGTTAAGGCAAGGAGACTTGGTTTCATTTGGAACTGGCAATGCAATCTACAGGTAATTTAACTGTTTATTTTTAGTTTACTTTCTGCATGTGTCACATTAATGAATAAAGCTGTTTTAGATTTTATATTATAATATGATAGTATCTTTCACAACTCACTTGGTTTTTTTTTTTAAATCAAATTCTAATAGGACGATACCTGACACAGCTATGTCTGTTGATAATGAACGCTATGAATAAGAATTACACTGCACCGGTTATATATTTATATATATATATATATATATATTTTTTTTTTTTTTAAGCATTGATATGCTTATATCTCGTAATTACATATCTAGCAGATTTTCCTTTGTTCCACTCATTTTCTTTGCGTGCTGCTCGGAACCAACCCAAGTGAATCACCTCCTTGAAGATAAACTTTCATCAATTGGTTAGTGATTCATGAGAGACTTATTATTTACGTGAAATTTCCAGGCCCTTATGCTGTTGTGTTTCCTTGTCATATTTCATCTGCAAATGTCTCTAGGTTGTTTCACGTGTGCTTTCTGGCAACAACAGTTAAATGTTAATGTAGAAAGTATTTGTTAACATAGAAAATAGGAGTCGGGCTCTTATAATTCATTGTATTCAGATGCTTGTGCTTTTAATAATTAAGCCCGATTCTTATAGACATTGGTTTACTTTTTTACTGTTTTTGAAAAATTAATCAGATAGAATATCAGCCTCGCCCTATTATTGTGGAGGATAGGAAATTGTGATAATTATATAAAATAAATAGTGGTAAGACAGAAAGTGATCCAGCAGTGCACTAAAATAAAAGCACTCATAAAAATAGACTCCAGTAACCTGAAAACAAACATCAAAGGAACAAAATTGCCAAAATAATGAAGGAAGAAACAACAGCTTAGAAATTAGAAGAAACTGAGGCAACAATTTGGTTTTATCCCTTAAGTAATATGCTGCACTAAATTAAAAAAGTTAAGTCGCTCCTGTCTGACCAATCCATCGAAGAATATCAGTCACATTTTATCTAATACAAGACCGTTGTCTTCTTACCGGAAACTAAGGATTAGCCACCAACCAACTAAATCTGGTTACCTATCTGAAAAAGTTTATTCTGCAGTCTCAAAGAAACAGAAAACTAAGAACTAAGTGATTGGCTCTTCTGTGAAAGGGCCTCACAAGTATTCATTCTTTCAGAAACAACCATTTGAGCTAGAAATTGTTGTTTATCCCTTCCATATCACTAGCAATGGCTTGAAAGACAATATAATCATCAATTAATATGCAAAAGGAGACTTACCAGACTTAAAAATTCACTAGACCTTCTGTCTAATATCAAGAAAGTAAGGGATGTACTTTCAATAAAAGAGAGGAGAGAAGACAGCTCCTCAATCTCAACACCACTCAAATTTTCTCTGAAAAGATTCAACCCCGATGATGAAAAGTAAGTTATAGACATTAGATATGTTGTTTATGGAAGTCCTATAAAGAAACACTGAAGAAGTAATCCCCTCCCTTCCCCTGTCCAGATATTTGTTCCTAAAACTGATCCTCTTTGCATTTCCCAAAATGATACAAGGTTGGAAGAGAACGTAACAAGATCCTGAGAAGTGTGTCTCCTTGGACATTTGCTCTAACCACTGCTTTGGTTCCTGCTAAGATTTCAAGGACTACTATACATTACAGTATTTTGATGATTGGTTAGGAGGAGGAGGAGGAAATGGGAAAAAGAGAAAGAGGGGGGGGGGGGGTGGCGCGGGTGGGTTATGTTCTCCGCATAAAGTTCTTGTGTGCTTAGTGGTGGGTGTGCTTTTTGGGGTTGGAGTGGTGATTTTGTTGAAACTTGAAAGTCTAATGAAACACATTTAAAGGTCTATTCCTTGATGCATTTTGGTGTTATGGTTGGACTGGAATAGGAGAGCTTCCAATATCTTTACACGTATTTCTTCCTTTATTTGTTTTCCTCTTGGTTTTTTGGTTAGCAGCATTTGAATCTAACTGAGAGATGTGTGCTTGTCTAATTACTAGAGTGATGTTGTGATGGTTGCTAACTATTGTGCTTTCATTAGGTGCTCATGTCACTTATCATCTAAATCAGGAGTGCACACATGTCCTTGTTGACCAACTCATGCCAGTGAAAGAAGATATAGTGGATGCTATTGTGGCAAAGAAACCTATTGTTCTTGGTAGTTGGGTTGAGGTGGGCCAATGTTCAGATCATTCATTGCTATTCTTGAGTGAATTGTGCTTCAAGTTATTGAGTATATATATTTTTTAAAGGAGAAATTAGGTTCTCATCCTTCCTTTTGCTACTCCATTGATTAAAACCTTATTCCTTTTCAATTTTTGATCAAGGTGCTTGGTATTAATAACATCATTAATTATTTCAATAGTAAAATATTAATTATTTCTAAATATATTCATTTAATGTTAAAACTGTTACAATTAGTATATTTATATTTATAGATAAATTTTTTATCATATATTTTTACTTTTAGTTTTTACCCATTTTTAATTTGCAACCCTTTTTTAATTTGTACCAATTTTCTTTTTAGTTTTAATTTGTACCCATATATTAATTTCTTTTTGTGCCCATATTTTATAAAGTTTTATTTGTATTTGTACGCATATTTTTTTTTATATGTACCCATTTTTAATTTTGCTAAATGTACCCATGCTAATTATATGTACCATTCATGTCATTTTTTTTTTTTTTAATTTTTAATCTTAAAATGTACTGATTCTTAAATATACCAATTTGTTATATGTAAAATGTACCCTTTTTTTTATATAAAATTTATTCTATTTTTTCCCTAATCCATTTTTAAACTTATATGGGTACATTCTTTTTTCTTTGATTTGATAATGTATCCATGTTAAGTTTAATCGAAGAAATTTACTAATTTTATTAAGCCTAATATCTTTTTTATTTTTTATTTTTTATTTTTTTATTTTGAAGAATGTACCCATGTTTGATACAATAATTTTTTGGTTAATTTTGATTAATGTACCCATGTTTATATACACACACACACACACAATAGTATATTTATATTTTAATATTTTTAATCCCACAAATTATGGTTTTTTATTTAAAATCTCATTAATATAAACAACTATAAATTTCAATTTTTTTTAATTTAAAAAATATAGTAATGTACATAGAAATAAATTATCACATTAATATCAGGGACTTGGATCAAAAATTGAAAACCAACAAGGTTTCAGTCAAAGAATATTCATAGCTAGGGACTGCATCCAAAGTCTCCCTTTTTTAAATCTTTGACTGGTTTCTTGTGATACAGTTGTATTATAATGGCTTGGTAGCACTTGCTTTGACTTCTGTGTTTCATCTATTATCATATTTGTGGTGCTTACAAAAGTTTAAATGAGAAAAGCGGAATGAAGACGATATAATGGGGGTCTGTGCTTCACTTAGTCGATTACGTAATCTTATTCAGTGAGATATCCTTGTTGCATAACATAATAATCAAAGCTTCTATTAACGAAGGGGACCTTGTAACTGTCGCCTTGCTTAAGATATGCTTTTAAGAAATAAGACTCATTTTAGTCTTAATTACTGTGATCTAGAAAATTGTGATACAAAATGTTTGGGGCTCTTTATGCTTTGAGGATGAATCAAATATAATAGATCTTAAGGGTGATGAGACTAGTCACTTTCCTATTGTATAACTGATGGATTAAGACAGTGAAGGGGATTGTATTTGGCACAAATTATTCCCGACTAACTCTCAGTGTTGTGAAAGGAAATGGAAGTATGATCGTATGTGGATGCATATGCTTCTGCGAACTTCTTGTCCGCTCTTGTATTTTTACTGTTTGTTTTGCAATATAAATTTGTTTCTTCTTAAAAAAAAATTGAAAATTTGATTATACATTGACTTCATTGAACTTCAACTTCATTGCAGTTTGTGTTTGATTTCCTTACCATTACTTCTTGTTTATACGTTGTTTGATGTGAATTTGACTCAAAGATCTTTCTTTAAATAGCCTGCATGGTTCCATCTGTTGTGTTTGTAGAGTTCTTCCTGTACTTTTTCTTTCTTTTATGTTTTGAATATATTATCCCACATTGTTGGCATTTTCGAAATGAGCACTGGTATCAGAACATCATCTAAAAGTACTAATTTTCTTAAGTGGAAATTCACACACATATAATTTAATAGTGTAATACATTTTTTTTTTGTACCTAAACCTAGAACTATTTAGAACTAAGTTGATGGGAAATTCTTCATAGCATAGTTTATTCCTGTTTTCTATTATTACTGATTGCTGCTATTTTTTTAGTTTCTTGCAGAAAAAAACATTCGAAATGAGCTTCCTGGGTGTGAATCGTGAGTGTTAATTATGATCTAGTTTTGGATTTAACTTCATTGAGTTCCTTGTAGATTAGCAATGGTTGTTCTGATAAAAGTATGCTTTCATCTATCCCGTAATCAGCTTTGCTCCAACACTAACAGTGGAAGGAGTATCAGTCAAACTTACAGATCCGAAAACTCGTGAAAACTGTTTAGAAGGATACACTTTTTTGTTGGACTCCAAACCTGTGGTAAAAGCTTTGACTCCCATAATTTTTTTAGAATATTCAATTTTATTTTACTTTTGCTGAAATCTAACAAGTTTAACTTTTATTAGTGGTTCAAAATGCATGAAATTTCATCACTTTTTATATTAGAGAAATTTTTTAAATGTTCACAACTGTGCATTCAGCTGTTGACAAACTGATAACCAAACACAGATTATCATGCAGACTCCACACTGAAAGTTTTATTGCTACAGTATGATTTGTAGAAGTTGTAAATTGTTTCATGCAGATTTAATGAATTTTTTGTTGCTCTCTCTAATCCATATATTCATGTTGGGTGAAGTCCAATGACATCCCCTAAGATTGACTTATTTCGCTCAGACCCCTAAAGTTTCATTAATTCCATTAATACCCTATATTGTTCACACCTGTTAATTCTTACTAACAGTCAAAGGGCACGAGAGTCATTTTAGTTTAAAAAATTAAATAAGAAACCCATGTTCTCTAAACCTAAACCTGAATTCAGTAGTCGAGAAATAAAATTGAAAGATTGAAGGCGGTAGGCACCTGCAGTGGAGGTGTTGAAATGAGAAATAAATGCATCCCTGGACACCGAAAAGCAAGAAAGGAAGAGGAGGTACATGATCTTTTACTTGAAACGGCTGTGATCTATTGCGTTATGTCAGTGGCGGATACTGGAGACTGACAAAGGACGGTTGAACAGAATAACATGCACTGGGTGAGGTGATGAGGACAGAGAGCCTGAGCAGTGTCCAACTCAGGACTTTTGAGTTAAATTTACGTTTTTGCATTTTTTCTTACAGAGTTGATTTAGTATCATTTTTTTGTTTTAAGGAAATGACTTTTGTTAGAAACAGAAAAGTTCTTGCTTAATTATGTTCTGGTGGGGTTAAATTTTACCTTTTGTCTTTCAAATTTAGTTAAAAAGCATATTCTGTTAATAATCACCTTCAGCAGGGGTTGTCATGTCATCAGTAATTGTGTCATCAGAATTACTGAAACCTGAGGGGTGCGAGTAGAATAAATGAAAACCTGTGCGGAGGTCTACCTGAACTTCACCCATTTATGTCTTAACAGTACCTTTTGCTTTTACAAAATAAATCCATATTTGAAATCTCAATTCCTGTGTGTAGAGTAAATTGAAATGATTGCACAACATGCTAATCTATATATTTTGTGCTTTTACAGTATAAATTCATGGATCGCTTGTGGTCCTTACTGGAAGTGAGTGGTGCAAAGATACTTTCCATTGATGGGTTTAATTTGAAGAGCCAAGTATGATTCTCTGATTTACAATATCTCTACATTTTTGCACGAACATTTTTTTAAGTTCCCTTTGCAAATTATGATGTCTGCTTTAGTGATATATTTTTTTTTACTTTGTCTGTATTTAAAGTTCTTATATAAGAAAAATTCTCTCTATATGGTAACTTACCATTTTTTTCCATGTTTTTATTATCATTTGTGTGTTATTAGCTGGTTGACTCTTGATTTATTTGTTTTATGGAAGTGTTAAAATGTGATATTTGATTCTTGATTTACTTTGATGTGTGGAAAATATGATATTTGGACTCCTCAGTTTAAATTTTTTTGCACAAAACGAGAGTTTTTAGTTTTTATTTTGTTTAAATAAAATTGACAAGAGAATTCTACACTTGAAAGATTATGGATATGTATGTGGTGTTTCCCGATTTTTATCAGCTAAAATACACTGGCCTTTTTTGTTGTTGGGATATTTACTGTTTTGGTGAGTGAGGAACGCCAAAATAATGAAATATTCAAGAAAAGGCTAGGATCACATCTTTATGTGAAAGAGTGAGGTATTGGCTTCTTTATAGGAATCTGTATCTGTTCTTTTTACAGATGTTCGTTTACTTTCTTAATTTGGATAGGGGGCAGCTGTAAGTTGTTCCTATTGTCCTTTCTAGTTGGAGAGATCACTACCGTTTGTTTTCCTGGATGTAATAGGTTTAGCTTTTTAGATTGATGTAGGACAAGATATGGGTCAATTCTAACGAAGAAGTATAAAGAAAATAAAATGTTTCAAATTCTAAATAACAAGAATTAGAGTTGAGAAATATTGGATTCAATCGATATGGAGACATAATAGGCATCGAGAAATATTGGATTCAATCAATATGGTATACCATGAGCTCATCATGTTCTGAGGCCATCCGAAGTCGTTTAGGCTTCCAAAACACAGTTTAAAGGTTTGTAATAAAAATTGGATCTTTACATCCGATTAATGTTTAATTAAGGTTGTTTTAATTCCTAGAGTCCTTTAAGTTGTTCCAAGTGGTTGCAATCTTTTATTTAAGTCGTTGGATGTAACAATTGTATTCAATCAATCATTAATCAATGGTTAACCATTGGGATTGGGATTGGGATTTCTCTCAATTTTCGGGTGGACTCCAGACTTTGTTCTACTAGGGATTATGTTGGTAACCCTTTGATTGCTTCATGCTGCGTCATAGATCTTGGGCCAGATTGTGGAGCTCTTGTGGTTTAGGGTTTAGGGTTCGTAACAGTCGATATTCAATTGCAATTGGATAACACTACACACTATCCAATATGTAGAAAAACACAAATATTAATGTTATTAGTTCACCACAGGACCTCGATATATAAGTTTTATGCCATGAACCACTTTACCATATGGGCTTAGGAATCTGTATATATTCAAAAGCAATTTGTGGTGGGTTGTCGGAGGAGTTGGCTTTGACAAATATCTAATAAATAGAAAGGGATTTGTGGTGGTAGTATGGATTAATAAGTTAATTTATTAGGAAAAGTTAAGGGAGACAAGAGGAGAGAACAAAAAAATATCACAAAGCTTTAGTAGGTACATACATTTAGAAGTGTGTGTGTGAAAATCCAACAAATTGTATTATTACACTTGTTTACCGGACCATGCTCCCATCACACTAAACAACGGTTTTTACTTGAAAAAGAAAAAGATCTCAACATTACCATTGTGATTAACCGAGCACTCACCTAACCTCACCAGCATGTTTCCCAACCTTATCAAAAAATATCACAAAGCTTGACAAATAGTTGGCTTGACATATATAAAAAGCATCGGTACATTTAGAAGTGAACCATGAAATTGAAAGAATTGTTTCATAGAGAGATAACAGAAGATTTTCAGTGTAGTTTTAGGCTTGAAGAAACAAGAGGGCACATTGGCACGAGTCCGGCAAGTACTAGCCAAGGCCCAATGGATTAATAAGTTGATTTATTAGGACAAGTTGAGGGAGACAAGAGGAGAGAACAAAAAAATATCACAAACTGATTAATCCATTGGGCCACAGGGCATGTACTAATCACTTGTATTATGACACTTGGTGTACTACTGAAACAGTGTTCAAATCCAGACAGTGAATGTCATCTTCTCTGGATAAAATTCATTTAGCTGCATGGTGAGTTTGGTTGCTTACAGTTCTTTCAACGTTGACTGCCATATAACAGTTCATATTCAATTTTCAAATTTTGAGTGACTCATCTGCTTTGGTCTGTATGAAAGATTTAAAATATTAACCAGTTTTCAGTGTTTATCTGTTGCTTTCTGTATTCATGTCATTTTGGCCAAGGTAATAAAGCTCATGCTTCCTATGTACTTAGGCTTGTAATTTATGGCATCATTTTATTGGCGTTTAAAATCTTGAAGATTAACTCTTCATCCTTCTTTACAAACAGTGCCTTAAACCCAATTTTGTCATATGGAGCATGGCTTGTGTGATATTACATTTTGGCTTTTTTTTTTCTGAATCTTTTTAATGTATATTCTCTTTCAGAGCTCAGTTTGTGGAGAAAATGATCGTGTTGTATGTGTTATCCCAGAACGATTATCAGATGCTGGGTTCAATAAGCTTGGTTCACTTTTAAGAGTGAATGAGATTGGGTTAATATGTGCCATTTTAAATGGACGGTTGGATACATCCATGTTAAAGTCACCTTGCGGTAAGTATTCTTTTTATCTGTTTGATAAATGTGCCCAACTGATTGTCTCAAATAGTACTATGCATTGTGTTATTGGTACTTATGAAAGATTTACTTACATCGTCGTAGTGGATTGGTTGCTCTGCCTAACTGTGACAAGGACAAAAGATATTGGGAGATTATGAATCTGTAATTGTTTAGATTATGCACTGTCTAGTTATTTATATTAACAAATAAACATATAGATCCTCTATCTTTAATAGATAGCAATCTTTCTTGACGAAAATGAGTGTTTACTTCCATTCAATTTCTATTGAAGTGATAAGAGAAATAGGAGTTTCAATAATTGGGGATGCACTCTGGCTCATAAGGCCACCAGTCTTTCCCCTTGAGATTGTACTCTCTTTCAACATAAATGTGAAATAACACTTCTGAAATCAAAACTCCAGCTCAAGGGGTACAGATATGCAGCTAATACACCTAGTTGTGTTATTTTCAGACTTATTTCACTAGCCTTGCCCCATGTGACCAAATTCTCTTTTGTCATAGTGAAATAATATAGTGACTAAAGATGATCAGATTGGTTTAAGAACAGAGATTACATTCCCTCCACAAGTAATGTCTACTGTCACAAAAGATTATTCGACAATACAATGATACCCTTTAACAATATAAGAAGCTTTTTTTTTTTTTTTTTTTTTAAGAATAACAAAGCGGACTATAGTTCTTACAGTTTGGACTGAGTAGCTAGACATTTATGAAGCTTGGCCTTCTGGAAGAAATATTTTGCACGGAAGTTTCAAAGTCATATATCTTAATTAAGCCTTTTTCTTTTGAGTACATTTCTGAAGCGATTTTGGTGTAGAAAAGTTTGTAGTCTTTCTGAAATAGCTGTGCCCATTATGCCTTCAATCACATGGATCAAGAGACATGCAGTTTCCTTAACTACAAAGGTTTAATGGGTATTTATATATGTGGCTTGTGCTGTTTCTAGAAATCAGTGAAACCTTTATCTGTTCCAAGAGAATGCCACTAAAACTTTAGTGTCAATAATATTTTAGGGTCTAATGTCTTTTATTTTAACTTGAAATCCTTCTAGATTACCTAGCTCTCACCTTATTTGTAGCAGACAATGTCACTAAAATAAAATTACTTAGCCACTTTTCTCTTTCCTGTGAGTACTCTTTGTATGACCTCTACACTATTTCTATTTTCATTGAAGTGCGAGAATATTATCTACTAGTGAGATGCAAGTACGTGTGTGTGTGTGTGTGTGTGTGTGTGTGTGTGTTCTTCTGCAAGGCAGTGTACCTGAATCTTTGTTGTTTTGCAGTAGTTGTATCATCTTCATGCTCCACAGATGAAACTGTGGTAGCTGATTCTGATGCAGAAGAAATGGCCACTTCAGTTCTGGCAACTTCATCTGTTGGGACCAAAGGAGTTATTGAATCTGTACCCCATGAAATCTGCATGAGTTATGCAGCTATCAAATCTGAGGATAACTATGTCATGAGCTCTAGACGAAGTAGTGACATGAGAGGCAAGCTTGACGAGTCTGAAATTGGAATTGCAGATATTATTTATAGCCAAGATTTGATTGTGCGAAATACAAGCCTACCTTGTGCCATTATTACTACTGCAAACAGCAGAGTTGTAAATTTCAAACGCTTCAGAAAGGTAATGCTCTAATCTTTCTCAGTTCCATATGGTTATTGGGTAATGGGTAGTTATATGAGCCAAACCCTTTAGTTCATACATTGGCATGTCAAGAGATGGTGCATTATCAACTTCTGAATAAACCTGGTGTATGTTGAGGTTTCAATCTGTGCTAGTCTTTTAATTTTATATTTTGGCTTGTCGAGACAAAATACATCTTTAGGTCCTGTCCAGTTTGGGATTTTACTGATTTATGCAGCAGTTAAATCAATCCCATACATTAGATAAGCCTATTAGTGTTTGGCTTATATACGAAAAAGGCTGTCCAAGGTTCTTTTTGCATGTTATGGGATAAAGGATTATGCACTTTATGTTTACTCTGTGTTTTTTAAGTACACTGATTTATAACAGAAATGAATACAATTGTCTTGATATTTTGGATTTTGAAAGACCCTATGTTCTATCTCCACTCCAAATTGGAATTACAGACAAATACTCAATCCGGGAATAGCTTCAGCAGACTTATTCCATTCTTGAAGACCCCATATAAGTAAGATCCATTTTATCAAGCCTATCCAACTTGTTTATGATGTTTAGAGTATCATCAGGTTACCCTTATCTTTTCTTTGTTTCTTGATGATAGAGATTCGGACTATGGGAGTGAGGAAATGGTAGAGTCTGTGAAAGAAGAGAAAAGGAGAAAGCAAATGGAAGCCATTTCTGAAGAGTTATTCAGTAATGAAGTGTATCTCTCTCTCTCTCTCTCTCTCTCTCTCTCTCTCTCTCTCTCCCCCCACCCAACATCTCCACCCAACAGAAGAGGATATGCCTGAGAACTTACCATCTGTTTCAATGATATAGGGGTCGTCATCGCGGTGTAGCTGGTTCTCTTCGTGGGATTCTTACTCATGGTTAACAATGGCGAACTCCTAGCTCGAAAGAGAGCAGAAAGGTAAAATGTTATCTTGAATTGCTAAATAGGTGTATGTATGCATTGTGTCTATGTGCACACATTTTGGGCAGGATTAATTGATTTTTGGTGAGTTTTACAATTTTAAATAACCTATGGGATTTGTTTTTTGCAATTCAGCCGGTAGATTTAATGCACTAATCATGCACAAATTTGAAGCCCTACCCATTTGATATTGGCAGCAATTCTATTTAAACTTGTTTAGTTGTTGACTAAAATTGCTATATCTAATATGATGCTGATCATCTTGAATTAATTTATTTATGGTAAAACTCTAAGAGTATCAGAGCCTAACCCTGGCCGCGTGTGTGCCGACGAGGACGTTGGGCCCCTAAGGGGGGTGGATTGTGACATCCCACATCGCCCAGGGGACTGATCCTTAAATGTATATTCTCATCTCTACCTAGCACGAGGTTTTTTGCGAGCTCACTGGCTTCGGGTTCCGTAGGAACTCCGAAGTTAAGCGAGAAGGGGGCTAGAGCAATCCCATGATGGGTGACCCATCGGGAAGTTCTCGTGTGAGTTCCCAAAAACAAAACCGTGAGGGCGTGGTCGGGGCCCAAAGCGGACAATATCGTGCTACGGTAATGGAGTGGGCCCGGGAAGTGGTCCGTCCCAGGCCGGGATGTGACAAAGAGGGCAGTGTGACAACATAGCATGTTATATTATGAAGAGAAAAAATGTTAGTAGATTGGAAGCGATCTTAGAGACTGTAACGGTCTACAGTATACTTAGAAAAAAATTGGAATACTGCAGGAAAAGCTATCACAGCAGCAAACCACACAACTAAATGCATGCAGGAGTCATAGGTAGTTCTCCCAAGCAATGTACAATTATAAATGAGGACTAGCAGGCAAGTTTGATCTGGCCAACGGTCATTGGCGCTTTTATTCACTTTCTGGTATATACTTTACTGATATCAAAATTGATATCCCGAAATGGATGTGCATGTAGATTATATGACTATACGAGAAAAGAATACTCTACCATTATGCTCTTTTTGTTCCTGCAACGTGATTTGTTTTAACTTTTAAGATATTTGTTTTTGTTGAGGAAATGTGCTTTGATGTGAGAGTATGTTTCAGGTGGATTTATGATTTACAAAATAAAATTTATGGATTTTTACTAGACGGGTAGGTGTAATTGTAACAGCAGTACGTAGTGCAATAGGTTGTTGCCCGTTCCCTGCCACCACAACATAAACCATGACACACCAAGGGAGTGTACTTTCCAAACAATTTATTAGGTGTACTCATGAATGGCTTATTTATTTGAACTTTAATTAATGAATAAACACGGAAATAATCAATAAATTATGTAAAAATCCGCCAAGCGAGTGGAAAAATTCGAAAAATCTTTATTAATGGAAGAAAAGAAATGTGATATTACCAATAATAGAGAGCTTGCGCCTATGGGACAACAACAGACGACGCGCGCTCTAGCTATGAGCCTATGCCCTATTTATGAAATGTAATGTATTAATTAATTAAAAGAATAATACAACTAAATATTACAGCCTAATCCCCCGGAACTTGCAACTACTGCTTTGAATTGTAATATCATTATTTTCCGAAAGAGTGTCCACAACCAACCTGCACCTGACCACGAAGAAGATCTTTGGGAGCTTGAAGCTGCCGAGTTTAATCTTTACAGGTTGTCTGACCCTGAGAGTGAGCGGAACATTACCCGTCTGTTGCTGCTGTTGTTGGAGAGCGGCCAGCAGGCTGCTTGCATCTTGGTTTTGTCCTGTCAACTGAACCAGGAGTTGCGTGGTGTTGCGGTGACCCTGGTAGAATTTTGGCAAAGCTCCTTCACAAAGCTTAGTGCGTGTATACCACACGCTTAAGCGGCTGCCACCTTCGTAGTAAATACCGATCTTCTTGTTGGGGTTTCGTGCGGTGATGCTCACGTCGAAAGTAGCATACAAGCTCGTCTGATCAGTGCTAACATTGAACTGGGTTATTTGCAATTGGTCCACCGAATATTTTGGAAGCTTTGGTCGGAACACGAGGTATATAATTCCACCAGTGATCGCAATGACCACCACTTGGAGCACGAGCAGGCATACAGTCCAACAGAGGCACCTGCGGCAACAACTTCTCTTCTTGTGAATGGGTGGTGGGGAGTGCGTCACTGGAAAGGTACGTCGTTGTAAGGGAGGATACGTGCCCTGCTGATCAGCAGGATCACTTCTATCCGACTTAGGAGCTCCCCTTGGTACCAAGGGTACCTCAGCTGCTGCATGTGGTGCCTCAACATCTCGATCAAGTACTGGATGAATCTTTTGGTGATCTGCCATTTAGTTCGACCTACGTATGTACGACCCTATGTATATATCTAGCAACAAAGATTTGATCAGCGAGAGAGAAGATTTTTGGGGTCTGATAATTATAGAGAAAGAAGTAGCTCAGCGAGCGAAGATTTCCTTCTTCTGCTTGTATTAATCTGATGTTATATAGGCTGCTTGGACGGACTTTCAAGGCTACAATGTAGAAGAGTCGTATACATTACACGATTGAAATTTGAAGCTTCCTTTTTTGACTTTGTAGGCGCCTTTGTATCTTTATTTATTAGGAAGGTCTTACCTGCACCCCTATAGTGCTAATATTCAACAAACATTGTGTAAGCAAAATCGACGACTTTAAGTTCCCCGGAAACTTCTTGCTTTTCTTATTTTTAAAGAAATATGTTCACGCGTCTGATAACTCCAAGCGTTAAATGGACACCTTTCTTTCTAGAAGACCTTAAAAATAAAAACAAAAGGAGAGAAAGACCTTAACATCCAATCCCATTCCGGAGGGGGGGGGGGGTGTGGTTGAATCTCCGCCTAAAGTTAAAGATATGTTCATATGAACCAGTACATCCGACGATGCAGACAGTTGAGCAAAGTCAAATTTAGCCTCTTTCTTAATTTTCTTTTTAAAATGAGTAATGGTTTAGGGTGATGGGATCACCAGCGGTAGGGAGGTAACCGGTGTCGGAGTGGGACGGCTGATGGGGTTAGGGTGGGGGTAGGAATGGGTAACAAATATGGCGGGCGGGTAAGAGCATTCCCATGAGGGCTCTATCCTCCATAGGCTACCATATTTGAAGCCCTAGTAAGAAATTTCATCTTCAATGACCCGAAAAATAGGATTACATACACCACAAGGATTAACAACTTCCTTTTTTGGATAACAAAAAGTTAGACTATATCTAATCCCAAAAATTAATGGAACCCACATCAGAAATGGAGCTCAGACTTATTATTTTGTTATTTTTAATTCAAAAAATGGAGCCCACCATTTTTTGTTGCCGTTTTGCTATCCCAATTATTTCCTTCTTGTTTTATAATTCAAATTGGGTGGTTTGCCCTCCATTTTTATTAAGGAAAGCTAACGAAAAATACTTTAGGTTTAATGAAAAATGACAAATAAAGGTGTAGTGAATAGTATCAGGAAAAGGTAAAAATATATTTTTTCGTTAAAAGTGAACAGTACCAGAAGTGTTTTATTAAAACTCTCTTTTTATTACCCTTTTTTTTAAACCATTGTTTTCAACAGCTCTATTTTCATTTTTTTTGTACTTTTTCTCTTCGCATATTTGCTATAAAATCCCCATAAATATCTTCAAAAATTTATATTTTTCACAAACTTCTTAATTTTGTTTCCTTTCCAAATTGTTAGTTGCAACAATTTTTTTTTTTCTCTCTATTTGCTCTCATCATTTTTCCTCCAATGGGGAAAAATCACAAAAAGGCACAAATTACTCAAGATGTCACCGTGTTTTGGCTCATTTTGCACTTGCGCAGCCTCTAAATGTCTCTAGAAGTGCTGATACATAGCCCCTACCATTGCAAAAGTAGCATTATCTCATAAGACGAGGAGTTATCATTCCATGGTTGGGCCTTTCTAATTTGGTGGTTGGAAGATTTTTGAGAGTAAAGGATTGGACGCTTATATATTATGATATTAATGTGATATAATTTACAAAAAGTGAATGACAATCGAGATGATGATCCAATAGGTTAGCTTGAGATGCAAAATCTGATCTAACGATTAGTGAAAGATAAAATCTTATCTTGTCTAATTTCAGAGAATGTGCCAATCAGATAAATAAACCAACGGATGAGATTGAAATAAGATAAATCCAATCCAATGGTTGTGATGAAATGAAATCTTATCTTGTTTGATTTCGAAGAATGTGCCAATCAGAGAAATAATACAACGGATGAGATTGAGATAAGATAATTCAATCCAATAGTTGTAATGAAATAAAATTTTATCTTGTTTGATTTTGGAGAATGTGTCAATTAGAGAATTAAACCAACGGATGAGATTGAAATAAGATAAATCCAATCCAATGGTTGTGATGAAATGAAATCTTATCTTGTTTGATTTCGAAGAATGTGCCAATCAGAGAAATAATACAACGGATGAGATTGAGATAAGATAATTCAATCCAATAGTTGTAATGAAATAAAATTTTATCTTGTTTGATTTTGGAGAATGTGTCAATTAGAGAATTAAACCAACGGATGAGATTGAGATAAGATAATTCAATCAAATGGTTGTCATGAAGTGAAATCTTATCTTATATGATTTCATAGAACAAAGTAATGGATAAGATTGAGATAAGATAACCTAATCTGACGGTACATAAGTAATGAAATCTAACTTTGTCAGAATTTGAATTTTTTTAGGTTCAAAAGTTCATTAAAAAAAATATAAGATAACACGTCTAAAAATCAATTTTAGGAAAATTAAGACAAAAATAAATTTATTGCGTAATTAAATTACTACATAAATAAATATATAGCCCCCTATAAAGCCCAAAAGGTATATAGCCCTTCATTGGAAGAGACTTTTTTATAAAGCTCAAAAGATTCATTGGAGCTCTAAAATGGGCTATATCCACCATTTTTCTAGCTCCATACAGAGCTCCTCACTGGGGATGCTCTAACCGCGGTTATTTACCCATAACCATTTACACGTTGGGTAACT